AATCCATTTCCAGACTGTGACTCCATCTCTTGACCATTTAGAGCCTTGGTTTTCTCATCTTTAAGATGGGAACAATGATATCTACCCAAATATTTTCCAGGATTAAAGAAGACTATACATGAAACCCGGGCAATGTAGTGTCTGGCACAGTGAGGAGCTCGGAAGTGCTGGGACCCCCTCCTTCCAGCCTCGGGCAGAAAGAAGAAAGGATTCCTGGAGATGAATGGGGAGTCACTGTAGGCAACAGGTCTCCTTGGGGAGTCCCGGCACCCAGGGCTGTGAGATTCAGAAGGAGCTACTACAGCCTGGAGAAATGATCTCCCCGCGACTACGCTGGGAGTTGTCATATAAGCGGGTGTCCCCAGACCATCCTGTTGGGACCAAGCCTGTCTTTCCCTGGGAAAAAAATTTTTTTAACTTAATCTTTCCTTCTAAGTGGATGTATTTTACACAGTTATCATGTTTCTAAAAATGGAGCTATTTAAAAGTAGGGAAATGCAGTCACACGTCTCTCTCAGCTCCTACATCTTCTTCCATTTTCCTGTCTGCCTGGACCCACGGGAACCCAAGAGGTGAGGCGTTTGGCAGGGAGAACAAATGGAGACAACCGGAAAAGAGAGAGAGAGAGGACAGGTCCCTAGGTCCATGAAGCGTGAGTCTACAAAGCAGCGCAGGGCTCAGTCATCAGGAAGAGCTGTGGTTTCTTTCACCATCCGCAGCTCAGCTTTCATCCTCGGCCCCTGCTTCTGCTTGCTCAGCTCCTGGCCTCCTAAGAGGAAAATGCCTGTGTCAGGGGAGCATTATAGAAGATTCTGGGTTGGGGTGAGGTAGCGAGAGACAGAAAGTTTGCATAAATCAGAACATGAGGAAACAGACAACCTCCGTCTGGAGAGGGAGGTGAGGGAGGTGGGCCCTGCAGGAGAGCAGAAAACCCAGGTTTGGCGCCCAGTGGTTCCCATCCCCCATCCAGTCTCATCTGTTCTGGCTCTGGCCACCAACCAGGAACCCAGAGAAACCTCAACTGGACAGTCATGTAAGCAGATACAATCTCCCTATCTCTGGGTAAGAAAAGAAAGTTTTATGAAACGAGGAGAAAGGAAAAACAAAGTCTGATATTGCACAACAGGTGAAGTCCTGCATTGCCCCACCGCGAGGATTCCACACTGTAATCTGTAATTCCTGGGTAAAGCATTTGCTCATGAGGGTGTGCAAGTCTCCTGCCATCTTCCCTGGAGATCCGGCCTCTGTGGGGCTGAGTTTCTCCCTTCCTGTTTGCTCGGGGGCAGGGAGGTGTGGTGAGAAGGGCTCCACTGTGAGGGAGGAGGTCCAGATGCTGGCCCCAACCCTGTCCTCTCCCTGTAATGTAACCAGAGACGAGTCATGGCTCTGCTCTGGGCTTCATTAGACAAATGAGGAGATGGATTCCTCCAGACAGGAATTCAAGACCTCCGGAGAGCTGCAGGAGTCTCAAGAAGAGTCAGACTTCCTCTTAATGTGGCTGATGGGTGTTGAAACCTTGGTGAAGCTTTAGCCCTCATACTCAGCTGCGGAAGCAGAACCTTCCCTTGAAATGTCCCACCCCATCATAGTCCATCGCCTTGGAATGTGTCCGCTTCACCCTGGGTTTCCCCTGTGGGGAAGTTTGTCTCATCTTCTAGAATGCACCTTCCACACTGCACTGGAGGGGGTCACTGTCAGTGATTCTTCAGTTGGCGATTTGTATTAGTGTCTTACTGCTGCTGTAACAAATTACACAGACTTGGTATCCTAAAACAACACATATTTATTCTCTAGAGGTCAGAAGACCAAAATCTGTTTCACTGAGCTAAAGTCAAAGGGACTGCGCTCCTTCTGGAAGCTCTAGGAAAGACACCATTTCCTTGCCTTTTCCAGCTTCTAGAGCTGCATCCTTGCATTCCTTGGCTCCTGGTCTCTTCCACCACCTTCAAAGCCAGCAGTGTGGCTCCTTGCTTTTGTTATCACATTGCCTTCTCTTCTGTAGTTAGATCTCTTTCTGCCCCCTCTTCTAAGGACACTCATGACCAGATTTAGGGTCCAGCCAAATAATCCAGGGTAATCTTTTCTTCTCAAGATCCTTAACTTGATCACATCTATCAAGTCTTTTTTGCCACCTAAGGTAATATACACAGGTTCTGGGGATTATGATGTGAATCACCTTGAGGGGCATTATTTAGGTCATCACAGTGATTTGTACCTTGTCTCAGGTCTGGGGATCATCCATTCTCTCCTCTAACCCCTTCCTTCAGAATAGAGTTGTATATCTTTTGCCAAAGACCACACTGTCACCTTCCGTGCCAACCCAACTCCCCCTCTTTTCACTCCCTTTGGGTCCTGAGAATATCTATCCAGTGGAAATTTCTATGATGATGGAAATGTTCTATAGCTGCACTGTCCAATACGGCAGCCACTAGCCACATGCAGCCAGTGAGCACTTGAAATGTGACTAGTCCAACTGAGGAAATGAATTCTAAATTTAAGTCGAATTAAGTTGAAATATAAATAGCCACTTGTGGCTAGTGGCTACCTACTAGACAGCTCTGATCTAGAGAGATGAAAAGCAGAAGCCAAGGCTAGTCAGGTTCACTGCTGCTAGCTTCTCCTGATAACTTTTGAGATCAGTTCTGCTCCCAGCCTCCTTCTCTCAGTCTCTGTGGAATCTGAAGAAGGTTTCTACTGGAGCTCTGGGATGATGGGAGTGGTTGAGGGCAAGGCAAGGAAGGAAATTGTGTCTATTGACCCCAGAGAGATACAAGGTTCTGCTTTTGCATCAGACTAAGAACACTCAAATAAGACATGCAAATCCAAACTACAATGAGGTATTACCTCACACCAGTCAGGACGGCCATCGTAAAAATATCTACAAATATTAAGCACTGAAGAGGGTGTGGAGAAAAGGGAACCCTCCTTCGCTGTTGGTGGGAATGTAAATTGGTGCAGCTACTATGGAAAACAGTATGGAGCTTCCTTAAAAAACTAAAAATAGAGTTTCTATATGATTCAGCAATCCTACTCCTGGGTATCTATCTGGAAAAGATGAAAATTCAAATTTGAAAACATACATGCACTCCAATGTTTACAGCAGTATTATTTACAATATCCAAGACACAGAAACAACCTAAGTGTCTATCAGCAGATGAATGGAGAAAGAAGATGTGATATATCCATACATCCATACATACAATGGAATATTACTCGACCATAAAAAAGAATGCAATATCATCATTTGCAGCAACATGGGTGGACCTAGAGATTATCATACTAAGTGAAGTAAGTCAGATAAAGACAGACAAATATTATATGATATACCTTATACGTGGAATCTAAAATAATACAAACGAACTTAGTTACAAAACAGAAACAGGTTCACAGACATAGAAAACTTATAGTTACCAAACGGGAAAGGGCATGGGGAAAGATAAATGAGGCATATGAGATTAACAGATGCACACTACTACATATAAAATAAACAATAAGGATTTACTATATAGCACAGGGAACTATATTCAATATCTTATAATAACCTATAATGGAAAAGAATCTGAAAAAAGAATATATATGTGTATATATATGTATACATATATATTCAGTTATGCATATATATGTATACTTTGCTGTACACCTGAAACTAACACAATACTGTAAATCAAATATAGTTCAATTTAAAAAAAAAGGACACACAATTTTGAGGTAGCCCCGACTTTACCCTCCTTACACAATGAGTTGTCCTTATGGGGACCACAGAGGCATGTCACAAGGAGCACAGAAAATGGGACTAACCTGGGATTTGGCACTAGCCTTGACACTTTCTGGGTGGTTTTTAGCATGTCATGTCTTGGGCCCTGGCCCTCAGTTTCCATAATATGATAGAGTTGGACCAGATGGTCTGAGAGGGTCCTCCCAGCTTTGAGACCAAGATTCTGTGCCCTGTGGATGAAGACTTGATTGTGCACATAATGCGACTTCAGAGCCATGTTCTCCCTGACCCACGTCATAGGAAGAGTTTGAAGGGTGAACAACCCTGACTGAAGGGCTGAGAAGGAGAAGTGGCTTGAGGTCACTCCCCCAGCACTCCAGAACCAAATCTGACATTCGTTCTTCTGTCCCCAAGAGAACACTTCACATTTGCTTTGGGCTTCAGAGAG